GTTCTGGAAAGGCACTCAGTGTGTTCCCATTCATTTTGTTTTAATTGTACTTCGTGTCATGCACCATTTCCTTCCAGTATAAAAGCCAACCTTGCATAAGAGCAGGGTATAAAAATACATATGTAAATGTCCTTGATATTCAACGAAGCAAAACTTTTCTACCAATGTTGCGAGATACACGGCTACATAAAGTGAAATCTGGGCTTTAGCTTCACTATGGAAAACTGTTCTGCCAAAGTTCTCGAGAGGAAATACAGTTATACAATGGAGAAGAAAATAATGGATGGATATATTCTTCAGCTTTACTTAAAACGTTTTGGAGCAAGTTAGATGTGAATATCAGTCCTTTTGTTTGTTTCTGTCATTCATCTGGAATTCAATGCTTTGTGGAAACCTGGAAGAGCTGTGCAGCATCAGAATGGAAAAAACCTGTGCATCACTGGGAGATGTGAGAGTTTCATTTGTATTTTGTTTTCAATCTTAGAAACCACCAACGTGAACCTTTAAGGTTTTTCTAATATCTGTGATTACCTGCTTCTCTGTTCTTTTGTCTTCTCCCAAATGTTTGAAATGCCCAGTTCACTGAAATTCTTTACAGTCTTGCCCAGTAGTCCTATTTCTGTTCCATTGTCTGATAAATTTAATCATGATGGGATACCCCTGAGCTCATATACTGTAGTCTGCTGGATTGTGATCTTTGCCGGGTATTTTCAGGATCAGTACGGTAGGCTCCAGTGTCCTGTGGCAAAGTAATTGCATTCAGTGTTCAGTGCAAGCGGTCAAATTTCCTTGGCTCTCAGGTCTAACTTTTCTTCTGTGATGCCCATCTCTGATAGTTTCCTAGCTAATTGCTCCAGTTGAACATATTGTCTGTTTCTGTTTTAGGTCTACATGAGTTTTGCATTACAAGTACAGTATCTTGAACCATGTTTCCATTTTAAACTTTTAGCCTTGTAAGGGCTGGAAGCAATGTTCAAAAGGTGTTCATTTAAGGAAATAATTAAAGTGGATTAATTAAGTGATTAAGAGCTTAAAGATCAATGCATACCAAAAGTCACAAGGACTGCAGATTGATAGCCTTACAAACCAGATCCAATCTGACAATACTGCAGATCTTTTCTCGGTACCCTAAAAGGAATTTAAACTGCATGGCCAGTGCATGTCATACAGTGATGTGTGTTCAATGACAGAAGGGCTGGTTTTTACCTGCTTTAATTACCAACCCTACTCCAGTTTACAGCCACTAAAATGAGAAGGAGGGATTAAATCATGTGAACATTTATCACTCAATTCAAAGACACAAAAGGGTGCTTTAATAGAAGGTAATCTTTCCCTCAGCAGTGTGTGCCTGTTTTAGTATTGTCTTTCAACAATGTATTAGAAAAGTAGTTTGAATTATGAGGCACTATTTATAAGTTAGTCTCATCCATGAGCTTATTAAAGTAAGCTAATTTTGTTTATTACATTTTTATTATATACATTGACTAGAAAATTGTAAATTGTTCCCTTATGCACTTGTAACATAAATCCTAAAAATGTCACAAATCTGCTCATTATAGTCTTTTTTTTGTAGGTTTTTTTTAACGTCAAGCAAGTGAAATAACAACAATTGATTGTTTTTAAATTTAAAGTATTGATTTTTAGAACAGTTTTGACAGTGGGGGTGCCTGATCACAGTCAGCCTGTCTTCATTATGTTTGATGTCTACTGTCAGGAGTGGATGAACAGATACAAGAACATTTTTCCTTTTATGTACGAGTGTTGTGGTGCTTTATTTTCAGGAGTGATCACAGTGTGCAGAGCAAAATTTCAGGACTGTCACAACACATAGAAAAATGTGCTTTTTCAGGATGAAAGGCTAAACTACTTGCCAACCATTAAAAAAAACTTCAAATCAACAGTTTGTACCTTCCCATAAATCCTCTGCTTTCCCAAAAAACTATTTCTTCACCAGTCACTCTTTGAAGCATCACATTTTTCAGTAGGCACAAAAGACTGTACTGTGTTTCACTAGCCCTTTGTGTTATGTCCTGAGAAACTGCTGTAATCGACAACATCTATGCCTAATAACCCAGCCTTTCAACCATCAACCATCCATCTCATTCCAAACACATTCTTGGAAATATAGTCTCTTCTATTATGTATTACATGGGAGAACTAGACTTTAGCAAGCAGGGTTATAAAGGCTTCTTAACATGACTCATAATACACTCCCTCCTTAAGCTTGCTCCATTTTCAGTCAATATAACATTTATCTCTGGATAGGAATGTGAAATATCATACAAGAAAACCCCAAATAGGTCTTGTCCTAATGTTCTGAGTGAGTTTTATCAGTACAGTGGCAATCAAACATCTGTCCAAGTTCCCCATTTTACTTCTCCTAGCTGTAATCGCACCTGACAGATCTGTCTACATCCTTTCACAGAGATTCTTTTTCTCAACTTCTACATCAGAAAGGCATCAAAAAACAAAATTGTACTTGAACTAGATCAATGCATTCACCCAACTCAAGGATTGACTACTAGTTTCCCCCTAAGTATCTTTATTCATTAAAATGTTGCTAACAGCTGTATTTTCCTTTAAATACACGCAAAGCTGAGGAGAACTCCACACAGATATCACCCCAAGGCCAGGATTAAGCCAAAGGCCTCAGATCAGCGAGGCAACAATGCTAACTACTGTGCCACCATGCTTGTCCTTATACCCACCCCTTCTCACTTTTTCTTTGCCTTTCCCCAGACCTTTGTATCTCATCCCTGCTCTCTTCGACATTTCTCCATATGCTGCAGAGAAAACGTCTGCAAGTCTCTTAAGTTTGGTCCAAAAAATGGAACGAAATCTTCATGTTACGAATGTATAACACAAAGATATGTATTTCTATTATTTAATTAACCAAATGATCCAACACTGCAGAAATAGTGGAGTTTTGTGACTCGTCGGCACTTTCTTTTACGAGACAGTATAGAGAAATGATAAAGTATGAATGAGCAGTATGAATTTAAATCAAGGGAAGCCATTGAAAATTATATAGTGCATTTAAGTTTGCGTCCAGTTTTGGTCACTATGCTTCAAGAAAAATTGTTGCTGATTTATAGGAAGTATAAAGAGGAGCAATCTAATTCCTGCCTGCAGGAATGTTGTACTTCGACAGACTAAAGACAACTGAATCTTTTTAGTGTGGAGTAGAGTGTACATGTGGCCTCTTGATCTCTTCTTTTCTTTATATTATTGTGGTCAGTAATTCAAGTAGACAATTTTTTAACATTGGTGTTCCTGTGTTTACAAAGCTACAGATTTATGATAGAAGAACCTTTTTATTCATGTTGTAGAAAATGTCATGCAATGAATCATGCAATTAACAAGTTTATATGGCTCTTATTTCATGCTTTAGTTTCTTCAAATATTTGGAACAAATATGCTTAAGAACGGTGATGTGTTTTGATGACATTTTAAACAAGCACTTAAAATGTGTACGATACCACAGGGTTCCTTCAGGACTCATTCAGAAAATTGATTTTAAATTTAATAGTAATCTTATGGGGAAAGATCAAAATCAAATGTATGTGTAGTACAGAAGTAGTAAAGATCAAAAAACACTTTCCTGAGAGGACTCTCTTCCTGAGTATCCTGAAAGGACAATTTCTTGAGACTTGACCATTCATCCAGAGTTTCTTCATTTATATATTAGCTAGTTGATACTACATGTAATGTTATCATTGTTTCATTGCATTTTGAAATATTTAATATTTTTTGTCTCTTTTGGTGTTTCAAGTTGTGGTTTCTTTTTTATTTGTCTTAATGTACTTGTGGGCATTGATACTCCTTTCAAAATAGTACATTCCTACTCATTCTTGTGCCACCTAGTTTTTCAAAACCTTCAAGGAAGTAGCAAGAGGTGACACCGATGTTTTTTAATATTGACTGCCCATTGTAGGCAGTCACGGAAGCTACATTTTATAGCAGTGTTCTGAGATTAATCCAGAATGAATTAATGCTAATCTTATTTTACGTTTACATGTTCAGCCTGCCTCAAAGGTCTCAGATCTAAGACAAAACACTGATTTTCTCTAATCGTGTCTTCTGAAGAAAATTCTATATTTGCAGCCCCGGAGATAATCTGCTAGAAAATGATTTTCCGTTGTCATGTAACAATACACATTTTGACCTTAAACCTCATAGGTTTTTCATCATTACATGCCACTGAAGGTTGTGGTGAAGTTGTGCCCAGATTTGACATGCTTTTGCGTGTTTTTGCTTGCCTCAACTGTGTGAGAATTGTATTTCTATTTTGGAAGTTCCTTGCTACATAAATCTTTTTCAGTGGAGTAGACAGGAGTGATGCATAACCCACATTGCATAACTCTACATGAAGGTTTTATATCTTGTAGCTCCTCTCGTTAGTTCAACACCACTTAGTTAATGAAAGTTTTCTTGTAATTTCAAATGACAGGACATGTTTGCTGAAACCTTCTGAAGACATTATAAGATACTATATATAGTGAATGAGCTTGACCTGGTCTTTGGCAGCCTTCATAAATGTTGCAGTAATACGGTTCAGTTGTATGTGCCTATATAATAAAAAAAAAAGATTTTTAACAGCAAATTTCTGATCTGGATTTTCTTGAAATGCATGAAAAAAGGAGTATTAACATGTTCAAAATCTGGTTAAAATATAGATGCCCAAACGCACATTAAGAGTAATATAGTAAATGCCTAGTCAGTCATTTTAAATGTGTTTTTTTAACCACAGAGAATTGGAAGTGGAAATAGTTGTATTTGGTACTTTTCTACATGAGCAGCATACGTTATTTACTGTAGTTCTTGGCACACATTAAATACCTAGCAAGTATATTCCAGTCAACACAAGTTAATTCCGGATGGAGAACAAAGTTCTGTCAGTGATGGCTTTTATAGTCTGTATGGAGATCCCTGATTTATTAATTTAGTTACCTCAGACTTTGCTCCTGTTAAATTTTTATTGGTTCCTCCTTTTCTTTCAGATCCATCAGAAAGGATAAAAGAGCAAAGATGAGCCTGGATTGAGGCTTGAACCTTCCTGTGAGTTACACAACTGACCGAATACTGGCAGATACCACCAAGACTGCAGAGCGCTGTATTTAGGATAGAGGTATGGTTTTCAGACCGCACTTAAATCATTTGAAAAACATAACCGCCGTACAGGAAGTGGACAAAAAACATCAAAACATCAATGTAAAGTCAATTAATTTGGCATTTCAACCACTATCAGAAGGAGGGGTGCAGCACCTTTCTTCTACAACAAAGATGATCAGCCCAAGCCTGGTTGGTGGAGGTGGATAAGGCATTGCTTCAGAATATACCCACTTCTATCCCATGAGTGCTTGATTGGGTTCAAATTGGATGATTGAGAAGTCCATGATGTATGGATAGCATCAGTACCATGCTCATGAAACAATGCAGTATGCACTTCCACCTACCGTTGCCCTTTACTGATGTCTTTCCTGTGTGGTTGTCCTTATTTTCCATGTACTTGGTGCCCTTCATTTACTCAAGTTTGCATTTTTTTGTCCGCTACCTGCAGGCTAAGTCCAAATGCCTTCAGTCCTGTCAGAAATTAACTGACTCACCATGTTTCTGGACCTCGGGATGTTTCTCTTCTGCTGCAAGGCTTTCTGCTTTGTTCCTTGATGCACATTGGAACTCGAATGTACCCTACTTTTATTGTGACTTGAGACTAAAAGGATAGGAACTCTCATCACCAAACTATTTTTAACTATTTTCCTTTCTTTTCTTTTTTTTTGTGCCCACATCATTGATATTAATTTAGTCTATACATAATTTGCATTGACTATGATGATATTTATAATCTGCTTTATTAATCTGTGTGTACCAAACATTAATATTTTTAGTAACTTGAAATTTCAGAGGATTAACTGTTAAGCACGAAGGAGAGGAATTCAAGACTAGCTTTGTTTAAACTGTCTAATTCTGACCAGGTCTGTCCATAAGTACAGAGGTTTTGTTCTACTTATAGAGATGCATCTCCTGGGTAATTGGTGCACTTCAGTACAAGAGATAGTAAAACAGTAGTTGCAAAGTCTCTAATTTATTTAATTTGACTGAGGATTGTCATTTATTTCATATAATTATTTCACTTTGCACAAGGAAATTATTTTACTTAGGTTTGTGTGAAGGCTCTGCAAATTGTAGACTTGCATTTCCAGTTTGTGAAAATGACTGGTGTAATAAAAAATGGCATTCATGTGCTTCGGTTCTCGCGTTATGCACGGATCTGTAGTTTGTCCTACTATCCAGAACCTCATCTGAATTTTCAAATGGTTAAAAACATGTGGTACTGTATATGCAGATTAGCTAAATAGATGATACATATTCTAATTCTAATATTAAAAAAAAAGAATTTATGTAGGTTGTAGTAATTCACAGTAAATCTGATTATAATTTGTTACTGCTATAAACCAGTTTTTCCTGTATGTTTCCTTTATGCTTTGCACGAAAGGTGTAATATTTAACCCAGTACAATATTTAATCCACAAAATCTTGTAATTTGAAATTGTGTGATTTATGATCATGCCAAAGGATTACACTGCAAATATAATCTGTGCACGGAAAGTGAAGACTGCAGAAACAAAGATTTGCATTTACTCAGCCCAGTGTCTTGTTTTTAATCTGGGATTGACACATGAAGTATAGTATTGAAGCCAGCTGGTACAGCAGGATTGTTGAGGAATGTGTCTTTAGAGATCCGTCTCTCAGAAACTGGTCTTTCTAAACAGGGTATTGCAGAGCTTACGATGCATTTTCACACAGATTCTCCATCGTGTCTTTAAATGAAATAGTGTTCATTCGAATGAACATTTGTGCCTGCCACATTTGATATTTTTTCCACTGCACCTTAGTTAGCACTGCACCTTAGTGTATGTCGACATCATATCTAAATCTTGAGTCTTTGGATTGGTTATGTTCTCTCTCCCATTCTTTGAAGACATACTTTGCTTTCTTTTGTTTTACCAGTACCTATTTCAGTGCAGTCTTGTGCTTCAAGCAGTGTTCGAACCAGACCGTATGACATGGTTAGCAGGTTTTCTCCAGTCTACAGAGAAAAAAAATGTTCCCTTCCATACTGTTAGTGTTAATCTCCTGGGATACATTTTGTTCTCCACAGTATGAGAAGCTGATTTAATAAAACATTTAGCACCACAAACATGTACATGAAGTGTTTTTTTTTTTGCCATAATTGTTACATAAGAGTTGTTTTTTGGCAGGAATAATCGGAAAATAATCTCATGGCTTATTTATGCAGGAGTTTGGAATAATGTTGTACATATTTAATACCGTAATAAAAACCGTCTGGCTGTGAGTGGGTGTTTTGCAAGGAATTGCTTCTAGTGGTGAAATGTGCTTGATTTTCCATTTTCTCCATTCACAAACCCTATGTTCTTCTTTGTGAAAATATATATAAAGTCCGTTTACTGCTTTTTTTTCAAATCACTCCCTTATTAGGGATTCTAAATGTCTCAGTATAAAACAATCTTCAGACAGCAGCAGACACTGAGTATTTGCAGTTTGTCAGTGAAAATGCTGAACTGCAGAATGTCTGTTTTTTTACATAAATTCTTTACTATGTAATTGGACACACGCAGTGTTCCCAAAAAAAAACCTTGTAGCTTTATTTGCACTAGTTGAATTTTTGTTATGGACTGCCATTGTCCCTTCTTTCATCTCATCATTTTAATTAACACTCATACCATCAAATTAAAGTTGAGAGCTCAACTTTACAAAGGAGAGTGAGGAGGTGGCGGGAGGGGGGCGGGGGTGTTCACATTACTGCATCCACAGCTGATCTGAACTTTCAAAAGTTTGCTCAAACAAAAGAGCCGTTGTGCAAAATCGCTGAACAATGGCTGATCGATGGAAATACAGTAGTTCTTCTTTGCTGCACGGCAGTTCTGCTTTGTTAATAAAGGCTGTGGCAGGGAAGGTGATGCGTCTGAATCATTACAGGTCTAAGGGGCAGTTAGTGAGAAAATGATGAAACCTGTGGCTGCTGCTAAAGGCTTACACTGGGCTGTTTTTTCCACCCAAGCTTTTAAAAGAGTTTGTGACTGTGTGGCTCATTATCTATCAGTCTTGTTCTGCAGTAGATACGTTTGTACACTTGATTTGCTGTAGATATATCTGAATTGGACTTTAAAGTCCTTTACTTTAAAGGGCTGTTTCTTTGTTTCTTTTGAAAACTGGAAGACTGAAAGTTGGCCTTATTGACAGGTGTCACTGTTGCAACCAGTTTTACGCATTTTATGAAGGTGGCGGCCTGATAGCATTTCTCTGGTGCCCTCTGTGTGCGTGTGGGAGTACATGCATGTACGTGTACCCTGCAATACACTTGCATCCTTTAATATGTGTTAGTTTTTAAACTGAAACCCATTTCACTTTAAGGTATATGTTTGAGATTGATGATTGAATCCACCCTTTTAAAATGTCTGAAAATCCTATTTAATTTTTGGAAAAATGGATCATGTTAAGATCCTTTAAGAGCTTGGGATCCTCATCCTAAGAGCAACCAGATACCTTCTGGGGTTTTAAGGGAATGTCATGCACTGACAGGCTGAAGGAACTAAACCTTTTTGGTCTTTAGTGGAGATGCTTTTGTGGGGACCTGTCACAAGTTTTCAAAATCCTCAAAAGTATCGACAATGTACTGTGTGGGTTTCTTAACCGCAAACACCAAAACATGAACCAGAGGTCACAAGTGGAAGTGGATTTAAAACTGAGAACAGAAGGCACTTCTTACCCACTGGGTTATGGAAATATGAAAAAAGATTATCCAGTGATGTTTTTGAAGCTTGTACCCTGGTGGTTTTTGTGATCCTGGCTGGATACGATCTTTGGATCAATTAGCTACTCATGTGTCTTTTTTAGCTTAGTGGCTGTAGCGATAAGTGTACATAACAGCCCACACAGATGTGTGTATACAAGAAACGCAGCTAACGTGCTTACAGTAGCTTCGACTTATTTAACCCAGGTTTTTCCCATTTGTTTGGGATCAAAATAATGCTGTAAGGTGACATAATTCCTGCAGGATTTATAACTGAGAAGATTGACTCTTTAAACTTTGGCTTGAGTCCAGCTCTGTGTGAGTGTGTCTGTGGTGGTGTATGAATGTGCTGTGCGTCCAACTGATTTTTCACGCGCTGGGCCATCTGTGGACTCCCAGTCGACTGACAGATCTCCTGATTCCCCAAGGCAGGGATTAGATGAAATTCGCCCACCCTCGGCTCTCTCACAATACTGCAAAATGAAGTCCTAATGATGGTGTATTGGCCTTTGTCTAAAGCAAATGTGCTTTCGCATGACACCCACAGCTTTGAAATTAGCAGGTACTGAAGCAATCACTGAAGCTCTTAAATTCTCTTCCTCGACCTGGGGCCTATACTCAACAAAAACATTCAACGCAGTACTCGGTTTACAGTTGTGCTCTATACAAACAAAAGCAAGCAGCTTTTTTGGAAAAACAGACAGTTTCAGGTGTGGATGTGGAAGGTTCTGATGTAAACTACTTGGCTGTTTGAGAATAAATTGATTAAAATGCTTTTTTTGGAAAGAATTGCACGTAAGTGCATTGGAAAAGCGATTCGTTTCATAGAGAGAAGAAAGCTTTTGATAGGTTTGTGATGCAAATTAACCTCGAAATATGCAGCATCAGATCTTGCAGTTTAAAGATGTAAACAATGATATGTGTCTAATATTCATTATGATTTCAACTCCACTCCAGGTATACTTTTTTCTGAAAGATATCACCATATTGGCTACTTTTGCCGGTCTAATGTTTTCTGTATTACAAAGATTTTGATAATTTAGATATTCAGTGATACCAACATTGAAACAAAAAGGTGTCACAAAAAAAGTCCATTCTGTTGCTGTGCTGTAAGGATCCTGTGAAGTCACACACTAGTAGGATGTGGTGACCTTTTTCAGTAGCACTCCAGAGTATAGCAAGGATGGCTCTCTGCCAGCTTTGTGTAGCTCGTCTCACTTGACTTGCTTTTTTATTCTTGAAAGGCGAGGGACTGCTGTCATGCACAATGAACTTGCCGAGTTGCAAGTTGATAATGCAATATTTATGAGTGA